ATGTGTGAATGAACCAAAACACAACTCCTTGGATGTTTTCAAAGAGGAAACAACATCCTAACATGAAAAAAGAGTCAATTTTGTGTAATATGGGGCTTTTAAAACCAGCTCTATTTGCAGCCATGTTTTGAATTGTTATTATAAACAATATACTTGCAATCTCAGTTTGCACGTTGAACTGAACTGTGTGCAAAGAAAAGGAGTTTGCGTGATCTGCTATGTATTGTGTGTTTTTGTGATCTGTCTGTAGATGTGCTGAGCTGCTCTTATCAGGTGGAGCAGAGGTGAATGTGCGGATGAGAGATTCCAGACTGACCCCTCTGCATGTAGCATCCCGCAGAGGTCTAGACAAACACGTGGAGCTCTTCCTCTTGTATGGAGCTGATGTTTTGGCCACAAACCAGGAAGGAGAGACACCACTGAACGCCGCGTGCTCTGGAGCGGAGAGGCCATCTGAGGGGGCTCGTTATCTCAGAGTAGTCCAGATGTTGTTAGAGGCTGGCGCTGATCCTCAAACAGCAGGAAGAAAGAAGCACACTCCGCTGCATAACGCTTGTGCAAACTGCTGCCCCGAGATCGCTCACATGCTCATGCAGAACGGAGCCAAAGCCGATGTGGAAAACAGCGCTGGATACACGCCAATGGACTGTCTCCTGCAGGTAACACATGACACAACAGAAATGAATAGTGGGTACATTTATACAGTAAAATCTGTTAACTCAAATGATATAATTAGATAGCTCCATGATAAGATCAGATATTTAGTGTGGTTACAGCACAAAAGAAATCTGATCTGAAATGCCTGGTGACATTGTCAGTTCATCAGTGGATTTTTAGAGTAACGGTTGTATTTGGAAGTCAAAGGGAAATTAATTTTAAAAATAGCTCTTTAAATCTTTAATAATCCTGCTTTCATTGTTGTCTTTCCCACATTTGTCCTTTTTTGCATAAACTTCCTTGTCACATGCACAGGTATGAAAAATCAGAAAGCAATCTGATTCCTCATATCAGATATAAACATTTGATATTTCAATAATCTGATACTGCAAGAAATCAGATAATGATCAGATTTTTGGTGTGCATGTAAATGTAGCTAGTGGTTTAGGTTTAATGGTGGAATGCAGGATTTTCAATTTTTCATATGCCGATTTACTTCTTTTTCTACACCTTTTAAATGTGTTTAACATTGGTTTCTTGGAGTTAAAGTTGCCATATGTAACTTTTTGGTAGAGGGTCAGGTTCTATCACCTGCTTGTCTTCCTGGAAAAGTTTTCCCCTGTTTGTAATATTCCACAGTATGGATGGCACAGTATGGCTTTAAACTTACATTTATTGCATTGCTTCAGTTACTGTGAGTGGGCTTGCCTCTCCACAGATCTGACATCCAGGGAGATAGATAAGTTTAATACCATACTGTGTAAAGTATTTCAAGCAAAGAAATAATATCTCCGTGGACACAAACTGGTGTAAAACCCTATACCAAAAGATTAAGTAGTGTACCTATGGCCTCTATTTTTACTTGAGGAAAAAGACATGGTTCTTGTTTTCTATTTTCTTATGTTTTGTGTAAAGGTGGTGGAAGACTATCCTGATCAACACCCTGAGGAGATTGCACGCTCCCTTCTGAACCATGGAGCAAAACCCGTTTCACCAAAGGTCCTGACTTAATCTCAGTGCTTTGTTATAGCAATAACTCTCATATAATATAAGTTTATATCAACAAATACATTTCTAATAATATTTGAATATATTTAGTAGAATATATTGTATTATGCTGCCATACAATGAGACTTTTTTTCTTCAAAGATGCTTAAGCTGTGTGCCCCTTCTCCTGCTACTGTGGAGGTGTTGTTAAACACATTTACACAGATTCCAGTTTGTGAATGGATGGACTCCCTGCCCACGGATATCTATGAGGTGAGTTGGAACGGCCTTTCGTTGTGGTCTAACATAGAACAATGACATAATAATTAAGGTCTTTTCTTTAGGAGCACAAGAGTTTTTTTGACCTGGTGAAGGAGCAGACTGGTCAGCCCCGCTCTCTGCAGCACCTCAGTCGCAGTGTGTTACGGTCACAGTTTGGACCCCGGTGCTTGTCTGTGGTCAGTAAACTGGACATTCCCGGCTCTGTGAAGGACTATTTGCTGCTGCGCCCTGACAGGACTCTGAGATAAAAGACATGAATCACAGTTATTACAGACATTAAATATTTTACATTAAAACAATAATCACTGACTTATTCCTACCATTGAACTGGTATTGTATTCTGTAGGCCTACTACAGTATCTATATATTGGCAAATCGCATAGTAGACAATGTATTATATCTGGGGTGCTGCAATAGGCAATTGCAAACTGTGTGCTGCATGTTCTAATGCTTGCAATAGTTTATTACACAAACCTTGCATATTTAATTGCTAATAATTGGCCTTCATCAAATGTGACAATTATAGAAAAATAGTGATAGCCTATTTGTGGGTTTCAAGCTATGGCAACTATCCTCTGTGATCATAGCAGTTGAGCAATTCTAATGAAAATATATCTCTTGAATGGGGAGAGGTCTTCTACAGGTCTTCACAAAGTCCTTCAAATCAGGAAAGAATTGGTTGTCTGAAACTCATGAATAGCCTTTTAGAATTTTGGAAGTATCTGCACAAGAGCAATAGCTCACAGTGTGTATTTTGTTACATTATAAGTGCCGGTGTACCAACTGGCTGTGACTCTCACCTTGTTTGGTCGTTTGATTTGGTAGTGAGCTGGTTCTCTGCAGGGGCCAGTCACGGGGCCACTGTAGTTCCCCTCACGCACTCACGCACGCCCTCCTCTCCCCTCGCCGCACTGACGTCATCGCGTGTTTGTTTTGCGGAGGTTCTGAAGGAACAGCTGCTACCTGCACTGTCCCCGAACATGCTCTGATTTCACAGCTGGCAGGTAAGATCACACGGGCAGTATGCGACTAAAGGTCCCCCAAAGACGCCTGTATTCAGTTTATGGTGTGACACGACAGCACGAACTCAGCAGCGAGTCTAAACAGCCGAAGGTCGTGATTAGCTAACAACTTAGGCTAGCATGTTAGCTAACGCTGCTTGCTACCGACTGGTAAGGAACTAAAACACATATAATTAACTACTTGATTATACCTGCGTTGTTGTATAGATCTACATTCGGGGTTTAACTTCGCCATTGTCAGTTTATTTGAAGTAAAGATTGAAAGGAGAGTGCATTTCTGCTGCGAGTTTGCACTGTTGCTGTTGATCAATGTTGGTTTTCTCATAAATATGCATCAACCATCAACAATCAGGCACAAGCAGCAGGAATGATGTAGCAATTAAACTGTGTGTTCCCTAAACCAGCAATGGTCAATGTCTGTGTTGTGTATATTCCACTCACTGTATTATTAGATAGAGCAACAAGCTAAGTAAACATATAAATAAGACGTGTGCTTTATGTTGAAGATTCATTGGTGTTGGCATGGATATGGTTTATACTAAGGAACAGTGTAGCAACAACATTTCCATGGAAACAAGCAGACCAACTAAGAGTCAGGTTTGTGGAGATGCAAGTCGGTTCAGACGCAAGTTTTTCAGTGCAATGAAACCATGCAGAATAAAAAAAAAAGACATGCATTTATTTTAGTCTGTTTTTAAACAAAAAAGTTACTTACAGTGTCTTTAAACTGTTTTCATCTGGCCCTGAGTGACCATATTTACCTTTGACCCTATGTTCCAGTCTGTCAACTTATCTCAGACATTGTGTTTTCTATTTCATAACTCAGCAAATACTGCTTTGGTCATACACTCACATTTCCAGTATTTGCTATTTTTGCTGGGGGCATGCTGACAATTTAGCTGCTATTTTTATCATGCAATCACCCATAGACATGTTTTCGTACCATGTGCCTGTACTGTTCTGCTCCTCAGTGTTGGTGGATGAGATGGCAGTGTGTGCACTGACCATGTTGGATGGGATCGAGCAGGAGGTGGCTGCAGCTGGAGGGGTCTTGTTGCTCTTGGCGCTGGTCCTGGCCTGGCTCTCCACACATGTGGCTGACAGAGGAGACCACATCCTGGGCACCATCCTCACAGTGGGAGCTCACGCCTCTCTCATTGGACTGGGGGGTCACGACAGCTACAGTGGGGGACCAGCTAACTCCAGAGGTGGGTTACTTTCACTTTTCAACTTAAACGTGCTCCCAAGAGTAGTTTTATGGTACTACAAACAGACATACATACATACTTGATGAGTATAGTTTTTGACAATTCTACCTAGGCTGTCATTTAGTTCTGATAACAATTATTGCTCCAATCAATTACAACAAATAATGTATCTGATAAAATATAATTTACATCATTACATCCAAAAAATTGTGTTTTAGTTTTAGTTAAGTAATAAAAAAAAAAAAGTTACTTATTAAGATTTCTAAGGATATTTTAATCAGCTGGGGTTTTGGGGATGATCTGTTTAATCTGCTTTTTTACTTACAGAGACGCTGTTTACTAGAGCACATAGTTGTGATGTGCAGTGTTGTCACTCAATCTTTCAGTAGTCAATTACAGCCCTACTTTTTAGGATAACATCTGGCAGTAAATTATTATTTTAATAAAACAGGATTTCAAATATGACTCATATGGGCTGATGATCATTTCCATAAGTGAGTATCTAATTCCCTTTTGTACCTCCAGATACTCCTGAACAGCCCACACCTTCAGCATCACAGGAGAACAAGCCTGAGGAGGAGAGGGGAGACGGCGATGGGACGAGTGAAGGAGCAGAGGAGGCAGGGACTGAATCTCTCCTCGATATCCAGACCAAACAACAGACACTGCAGCTCTCTGACGATGAAGAGGAGGATCCAGAGGATGAAGACGAGGAGGAGGAGCAGGTTAAAAAGTCAGTGATGCACGTCTCGGCTCTGTGCTCCGCCACATCTCCCACGGCAACAGCCATCTCGATTAGACTTAAGTTCCTGAATGACACGGAGGAGGTGGCCGTGTTAGAGCCACAGGACACAGTGGGAGTGCTGAAAAGGTGAGCGGGGAAACTCACACCTAATGCACACGTTTGTTTTTGCACCTGGGACAAAGTGACAAAACATTTCAAATTCATCATCAGCTCCAGAGGAAGTGTAGTAGTGTAGCAGTCACACTGTTGTGTTTTAGCAGCGAATGTCAAAGTCTGGTGTTTTCAGGATCTTTACTGTACTTTATCACTTCCCTTCTAATGCAGCAATGCTTCCGTCCTCCACTCCAAATAAAAGTTTGTCCTAATTAGTTGCAGCAAGTGTTAGTAGTATCTTATTTGTAAATATGATATTAGTAGTAACTGGGAGCTGAGGACCTCTACTTACTGCAATTTCTTATAATATGCAAACCTAAATTCATCGTCACTTCAACGTGTTGACTCATCTGATTGTTGATTTTAATCAAATTAATCACAAGGTCTGTTTTACCCAAACATCTGCATAAGATAGGCTGTGAGGCTTCCTTGAAAGGTGCTCAGGGGCGAACTGTAAAATTTGCATATAAAATCCATCGTCATGTGAACAAGCGCAGCTCACTCAGGGGCTGATGTTTAGAAACACAGAGTAGGCGATAAGGTGCTCTTGGGATATTTTATGACCAATAAGTGATCTGCAGTCTCAAAAGTTTATAGCAGCATTATAGTAAAACATGATAACTACTATTACTTCTATTATTAGAAGTTATTATTACTGTTAACTATATGTATTTGATCCTCATTTTACATACAAAATGATTTCAAAACATATTTCACAAATTTAAAAATCTCCCCCTAATGTCTCATTAACTCTCCTGTCTGTGTTTTTTTGCAGTAAATACTTCTCTGGCCGTGAGCAGCAGATTAAACTCATCTACCAGGGCCATCTGCTCCAGGACCCAAAGAGAACTCTGAAATCCCTCAACATCAGCCATAACAGTGTCATCCACTGCCACATCTCCCAGACCCTTCACGAGTCTGGCCAAGAGGACGGAGCCCAGACTGGGGCTGGATCGGGGGGCTCGGGGGGGTTCATGGCTGCCGGAGTGGCCCTCAGCACGAGTAGCCTTGTGGTGCCTGTTTTTGTGGTGATCCTGGCTGTGGTTTGGTATTTCCGAATCAACTACAGGCAGTTCTTCACCGCGCCCGCGACCATCTCCTTAGTGGGAGTCACTGTGTTCTTTAGCTTTCTCATATTTGGGATGCACAGCCGCTGAAAAGGCCAAAAACATGAATGTCGTGAGAATAAGAATAGCTGCAGCAGTGGGAGTCGTCTGAAGATGGTGACTAATAGAAATGAACCATAGATGATTGGATTCAGTGTGCGCAAGTGTGTGGGGGCGTGGAGGTGAGCTGTATCACGGAAAACTTGGGTAAACTTGACAGAAGTTTAGCTTAACCATGACTTAGCCTCTTTCAGAAGAAAACATTTTAGCTTATTTTCATTTGTACTGTTGCTTGGTTTTCAGATTGTGTCAATGTTTTATGTGTACAATATAATGCTAAACGTAACTGAAACAAACATAACTTCTCTCACATCATTGTAATGTACTCCTTTGATTCATTTTGTCTTTTGGATGATTGATTTCTGTATGCAAAATAGACTGTACAGCTGCCCCAGTGCAGAGCCAATTTAAAATATTTCTCTTGCTTTAAAAAAAAAAAAAAAAAAAAAGAGGTTGCGATCTTGATTTTGGTGAATTAAAATTATTGCTAGAAATGATAGGACTCCTTTAAAATGTACATATTTGTCTGTAAATAAAAGGATTGACTCAGATGATCTTGCATCTGGCACTTAAAGGTTTGGAGTATCCGTAGACTGCTTGTCTATGGGGGGAACTGTAATCTAATGCTGGACTGCTTTGACTTCAGAAATGTCTCAGAATAAAGCATTTGAAACCAGCCCTGTTCTGTCTGGTTATGAGGTTTGAACTATGCATGTTACAGTTAGAGTTGAGTTATAACATTAAGGCTGAAGTACACTGTCTCTCTTACAATACTACTACACTATTGAATGACCATAATGACCAGTAATAAATATTTTAAATAATCCAGAAGCATGAGCAATAAAATAAAGAACACAATCAAAAATGTTAGTTAATGTAGTCAGTTGGTGCCTTTTGATACTTTGCAACTGATATAATCAACATTCTTGGGGGGCATGAAGTCACCTGAAAGCACTGCTCTGTTAGAAGCTCTGTTACTCAATTTAAACTTAATCTGATCAGACTATAAGCAGTTTTCAGACCATCTTAAAAAGTAGAGCCAGAGATACATGTAGAACACCTCCAGCTTGATGCAAATTTTTCAACACTCAAGACCTCTAATATTAACACATTACAAAAATACAAAAGAATGTGTCGCTTTGTGCAAATAAAGGTCAATATGCAATTATTGTGACATGTATAAATTAGATATTTAACAGCAACTGTTAATCCATAGGCTTTTTCTGTAATCAAAATGCTCCAACAGTCAAGATTGTCAGCTTTCTGTTCACCTGCACCACACTGTCATGACTCCAAATGACAAACACTCTTTGACTAGAAAAGAGCTGTAATAGTATAATTGGCAGCAATCAAAGAATTTAACTTAGCTGACTAGAAAAAGATCAGGTGGTTTTAAATAAGACTGTTTCAAGGACAATGAATCAAAGTACTAATCACATAAAAGTTTTCAAGTGACAAAATGAGGAGAAGATCTGTCTTACTACAGAGAAAAGTTGTATTTATCATGATTTCATTTCCATCACATTTTATCATAAAAACATACATACATGTGCCGTTTGCCTAGTGGCTCCTCAGATATCAAAATCTGCATTAAATCACAAATAATATTTACATATCACTTACTAGGCAGTGATAAATTAAAACTTAAATATACCGCTGTAAACAAAGAAGTTAAAATGGCACAAACATCACAAAATTCACATACGGGGATGCATAGTTTGGATTACATCCTGGAGTCATACTTACCACACAGAAACCAATGGTCGTCACACAAAACAAAACTGAGCATACAAAAGGCACACACTGTACAAACACACGCAAATGTGCAATACTACGCGAGAAGTTCAGATTTAAAAGCCACGCATGAGCACTCAAATCTACAAATGTCAAGTGTCCATTTTGAATAAACTAAATAATTTCAAAATAACTAATTTTTATAAACATGGACTTGCTTAATAAAATAAAACTCCCTTTGGGGATATAATAAGATGCATATCTGAAATTAGCATGCCAAAAATAAACTATCCGCATGACTTGGACTCAAATTTCAAATAGTCTTTTTACATAAATGATAAAAACTTTGGCCAGTTTTCTAGCATTTAGAATGTTAAAATGAAAGAGCATTTCAGTTTTTTTCTTAATAAAGTTGCAGTAACCATTTGCATCTCCTAAATCGCACCTGTCAACATAAAACTAGCTATTATGACTTGGAGTCTAAAATAAAATACAGTCTTTAAATTATCAAAAAGTTAAATAAAGCCTTGGCCAATTAACCCTGCTTCTATGATATATATATATATATATACACATGAGGCTGATGACTGTTAAAATGAGACAAAAGTTTATATTTTTTACAACCAAAATTATAATAAAATGATCTCCAAATATCATAGTTATTCACAGTTTTAAAACATTATTATAGTAGTTTGAGAGCTCAATTTAGAACATGAAGCTATTGATATTTTGCAGCTGATTTTATCAACATTCCCTGGGGGTGCAGAGATTTAAATGTGCTCTTAAACAAGTCTCTCACATGTAAAATGACTGTCATGGGCTAACTTTATTTGTTTATGTCCATTTTTTTTTTTTTTGAGATTTCTGACAGTCTTAAAACCTTTTGAGAGTGTTTGCTAATGTGGGCATTGGGTCACCAGGGTAACTCCTAAACTAGAACCACCATTAGAAATACGTGTAGAACACCCCCAGCATGATGTCACTGCAAAGTATCAAAATAGCTATAATTTTGATCAACTATTTATCAATATCTTAAATTTACATGATGTTTATGTCGTACTGTAAATGTATTTCATGATATTTGGAGATCACAAGTTTGTTTTTTAATAAAAAATCGTGCATATCGCTTTCTTCACTCTTCACTCTTTTGAATCACTGGTTGTGTAAGAGTCGATGATATGATGAGAATATAGTCACCAAAAGTTGGTGCGTTCAGTCGTCATAGATACTGGACATTGAGGGTCCTGACGGTTTGGGCCTCTTTTTTTTGGACGATAAGCTGGTATTACTCTGAGAGCTGCTGCTGCTGCTACCTCCTCCGTTGCCACCAGAGGGCCCTCCGGCACCCCCTCCTCCTCCGCTCCCTCCGCCCCCTCCGCCTCCCCCACTGCTGCTGTTCATACTCAGAGACGGCCTCTTCTTCTTCTTAGGTCTTCGTGAATCTGAATGATTAGTACCTGGGAAAGAACAAGGTATTTGTGAATATAGTCAAATGTAAGTGTCTGAGACATACTAGTACATAACTGGAGTGGATAGGCTTCTTCCATATTAAAAGAATTTATTAGTACTTCTATTTTTATTTTTACAGCATATTTGTATAGAAAATATGCAATGCAATGACTTACACACAGATCTCAAGGGGAAAAGTTAAGAATAGTAGAATGACTAATTTGAGTAAAAAATATGCAGAAGGGCACTCCATTTTGAAATGTAATTTCATTTTAGCATCTCGGAATGGTATTCCGTACATAGTATGACACCATGAGCTTGAATGCATGTATGACAACATTACGATACAATTAATTGGACAAGGGATGGTTCGCTAGAGTATCTCTTATCAGTATTACAGATTTAACCCTAGAACACTATCGCCGGGTGATTTTCACCCGAGCAAATGTATTTACATGATTTTCAATATGTTGCATTTTTCTGAGTGTCATGAGTCCCTGGGTAGCTTCACCATTGTTTTTAACATCTATGAAGGTGTGGGTGTTTCCCTTCCCCAAAGCCCACTTTTTCCTCCAGGCTTGGTTTCGGGTGATTTTCACCCGGCCATAGTGATAGAGGGTAATGTACGTTTTGGGTGAATTTCACCCAGCGATAGTGTTAGTGTATAAAATCAAGTGATCCTGCCACATGTCAAGGGTGACAACATTCAGTCTCACCATATTTACTGTCCCTCTCTGACATCTCAGCTAGTGAGTAACACATAGGTAAGGTTTATTTAACTTGGCAATTGTTAGCTGATTAGATCTCTTCTTTTTTTTTTTTTTTTGTCAAAAGCTACATTATGTAGCTAGCTAGCTAACTGTGCACATTCTTTCTTTCAGCAAAGAGCTACATTAGCAATCAAGATAGCTAGCAGGTGAAGTTCTAGAACAATTCTAGAAAAAATGTCTAAAAGGAAGCCAGTAAAGTATTTGACCCAAAAGGAAATAGAAGAGATTCTGTTCAGGGAAAGCAGTGATGAAGATGTTGATCAAGTGGAAGCAGAAGAGATGTATGACAGTGACAGTGATTTGGACTACATTCCGAAACCAGGTGATGATGATGATGATGACAGTGATAGTGATGACTTTGAGCCTAGTCGTCAGAGAAAAAAAAAGCGACTCCATGATTACAGTAGACTGACTGCCAGACACAGTACCACCTCAGGACCTGCCGTCGACCGGTGTGTCCACGCCATTACTACCCTGCGTGTACTGACTGCATGTAAGGAATAGGTAAGTAAGAATGTTCTTGGAATGTGTATGCTAGCCTTATTTAGTGCAGTGGTTATGAATATATATCACAAAGTGGTGATTTCAAAGTGAATTCTTATGGTGCAAACAATATTTTAATCAAGTGGTCATTTTTACACACTGAAAAAATACTATTTTTTGTTCCTCTCTCCTGTAGCTGTTTGCGTGCCAAGGAGTCTGTGCCTTCACCAGGGAAGTCTCACATGTCTCAGGAATGGGTGGACCAAAGACCAAGTTTCCTCTATCATTATTTTTTTTTTTAGGATTTTTTTGTTCTCAAATTCCAAATTTTTTAGTAATTTTCAAGCATGTTTGTAGGATCTTCCTATGTTTTTATTTTCCATTTTGTTAAACATACCACAGTTGAAAATAAAAGAAAACCACTCTAATTTATCAAGTGTTGTCATATTTTGATCTATTTTTTATGACAAGTACCTTTTGTTGGGTATATTATATCGGGTAAAAATCACCCGGCAAAAGTGATGGTGTAACTTTTTATAGCGAAAGTGTTCTAGGGTTAAAATGATGTGTCCCTTAGTTTACTCACTGGCTTTTGACGAGGCAGAGTCAGTAGGAGACACATCGGGTGAATCCTCCCATTGTAAACGGCTCATCAGGCTCTGTCCATCAGGAATGTCAAAACTGTCACTCTCCGTCACTGCGTCAGCATCAGGGAGCGGAGGCCTAAGACAACCAATACAGAGGCAAAGATATTAGAGGATCATCCCTAAGTATATGAACTCCATTGCCATGAAAACATTTTTGTAAATCAAATTTTGACTCCCATCCAATTTGGTGGTATTAGTCTGAGACACTAGGATTTATCATTAGGCTAAATAAGCAGTATGTACCATAGTTTCTCATGCCAGTACCATCAAGCTAAAAAAGACATTTGGATTGAAGTGGCAATGTCCTGATTTCTAAAACAGTATCCAGATGACTAGCTCTGAAATGTTTTCTACCTTGGAACACTCCTGGACAAATGAAGGACTATACAGACTTATTGTAAATGTATTTTTACATTTTTACATATTAAAAAATACAATGTAGAGCAAATGAACAGACAGATGGTACAGAATTATTTTCATGTTCAGTCATTATTTTAAGCATCGCAAAATGCTACAAGTCTGCTGTTTTCTTCTGCAAGTAACTAGCCCAGAAACAGAAAAAAATATTGTTGTTATTATTATTGGCACCCTGACCACAAATGATTTATAAGCCTCACCTACAACATGGGGGTCAATAGCACTCATTCAGACATCACTCTATGGTCAAGTACAATTTTAGGTAAAGGAGGGAAAGGGAGGGGGAGGAGAGAGGAAAAGAGAGGCAGAAGAGAGGGAGGGGAGGAGGAAGAGGAGAAGGGGAAAGGAAGAGATAGAGGAGAGAGAGGTGAAGGAGGCAGATAGGGGAGGGATGGGGGGAGGAGGGGGGACCACTCACGCGGACGGGCCCAGGAGGAACACCCTGACGGCCCTCCTCTGTTCGTCCGTGTGCTGGGGGCAGCGCTGAGACCTGGCGGGACACAGCGTGGCATTACACACCCCTAAAACGTCACCCTTCCCCTTCATTGGTACACGCGCTGGTACAGGGAGGGGTAAGACACGCTCCTACGGACTCAACCAGTGACCACGAGATCAGACCAGTGCTTCTCAAACTGGGATGTGCCTGTCACTTGTACTTAGAAATTTTCTATTGATTTGAATGTGCTGTAATGATAGCTGTAACATGTGTTTTAATGATTACCAAAAGTAAATCCTTTGGGGTGGGAATAGCAGTCAAATAGTTAGGACACATTATATCATAGAGAGTCCTTTAGGTTTCACTGGGCTCATTCTGCCTTCTGATTGAATAATTGATTTGAAAACTAAACCAAAAAAGTAAACATAAACTTTCAAATTGTGTTAGAAATATGTATGATTTAATTTCTAACATTACAGTTCTGTTCTTATAATGTAAACATCTATATCTGATTACATCTAATGAGAACAATCCCTCTTTTGCAGCTGTCAATATTCAATGGGTGTGTAATGCTAACAGTAGGCTCTGCTCTGTCTGAGGCATTATTAGACTTTGATCTGAGCTTTAGTTTAACACAATCTGACCATAAAGAACTGACTTGGCTGGAATTAAAACAGGTGAGCTGATTTGTGCCGTTGAACAATTCTCTCACACATAAAATTACAGTCGCAAGCTAATTAAGAGTTTTTAAGTTAGTCACAATGTTTTTGTTGAAAATCAAACACCTAAACAGGACTACGAATAGATATTTTTTCTGTAGTTTTCAGACAATCTTGAAACTTTTTTTACATCCCCAGAATGATGCCACTACAAAGTATCCATAATACCGTTAATTAGTCTCAGTCACAGTTTAGCCCTAGTTTACAGGAGACAATAAAAGCCTTATCTTATCCTATATTCTATATTTAGACCTCTATTAGTGAACAGCCTGATTTAGTTTGAGAATCACTAATCTACAACAGCTTGAATTGTTTATGGCTCTTGATCACTGATTACGTCCATGAAGATTTTGTATTAAATTGTATATGCAAAAAATAGCCAATTTTAATTTCTAAAGTTCAAAATTAGGTTGCCACTTGTGTTCCCCTTGCATTAGTCCCAACATACATGATCATTTTCATTTCAAAACACCAAATGAAACTGATCATGCTCTCACATACATGCAAACAGGACATCGCTATAAGTTTAGTACTACATAGGCTACACAAATACATAAATATAATGTATGATTAAATAGTAACTTACCTGTTACACATCTTCTTGGAGTGTTCGGAAATCACACCACATTGCTGAATATAAGAAATAGACAATCACAAAATAGATAAGATGGCTAAACAAAAACAGAGGCTTTAAATCACAACAACAACTCACCCTTATGTAACAGACAACCATATGTCCTGTCAGTCATTATATTATCTTTGCACTGTTTTCTCCTTATGACCTCTTACGCATAGCTGAGATATATTTGTATTACTATAGTTCATTATTTTTACTTGCACATATACATTTATTTAATTATGTCTTATTTCGCACCAGTATCTTGTTATTTTTGCTGCTTATTTTGAATTTATTATAACCATTTATATTGTTGCCCTCTGTTGTTATAATATATCATTGTGTGTGAGCTACTGTGTCCAAATAATTTCCCTTGAGGATAAGTAAAGTTTGTCTAAGTCATAATCAGTTATTTACAGGTATCATTAGAAAGACTGAATTTCTATGTATCTTACAACTGAAGTGCATTTTCATAGCGTAATAATATTGTCTCTTACCGTTGTTAGCACAGATCGGACTTCATCTGGGCCCAGTGTTTCGTAGTTAATGCCAGAACTGTAGTTGTACTAAAAACAAAGGAACCACTGTATAAATAAGAAAGCAGAAGTAATGTAGGGCAATATTGTAGGACATGAAAAAGCCACCTTATAGGCATCTGATGGGACACTGCCACTAAGTTCACCTGAAGAGTAAACACAAGTACTGTAATATATGAAAATTACCCCAAACATTGCTGTGTGAAATGGACTATATATTCACCATTTTTATGTTTTAGTGATTTTGACCTTCTTGGAGAAGTCTGATTCTACAAAAAGTTTTAAGAACAATTATACACAATTAAACTTATTCAAATATAAAAACAAGACTACCCACAGTACCTTTTCTGGCTTTCTTTTCTTGGCTGTAGATAAACAAACCCAGATTAGATCAAATCAACTTTACCAGGACAAATAAATAAATAAAAACATTACAACAACAAGGTTTAAAATATACTCACATTTTTTCTCTGCCCCATAGGACCAGTCATTGTCATTAAGGTCATCATTGTCCTCCTGATCACTTTCAGATTTACTCATGGTGTTATTTGTGGCTAGCCTTTAAAACAGTAGGACACATTATAATTTAAAATAACTTACAAATCCAAGTGAATGTGTGATTCATTTTTTTTGTGAATGGCTGTACCTGCGGTTAGCTATTCGGCTGCTGTTGCGTCCCATACCGAGACATTTCTCCAGGTGAGGGGCAAAGCGAGAAGCAGCGATCAGTCTTTTACAGTTGGGGCATTCACACTCTTTGTTCTTCCATTGGTTATAAACTTGGCCAAATATATCCACTCCAGGTTGGTCCACGATTTCTACAAGAAAAATAATTAGTTAGACAAGCACAGTATTCTACTTATTATGCATTATTTTGGTTGATGCATTTCTATGGACATTTAGCAGCAGACTAGGGCTGTGCAATTAATCATATTTTAATCCAGTTAGACCTAAATATTTCCAGTGGTCAATAATCAGCTTGGGGCTTTCTAACTGAGATGTCTACAGGCTATTCTCGGTCAGTTAAGTATGTGCAGAAATTCAACTTTGGAGGAAGAAATATGACTGTATTTTGTATTAAATGGCCTATCTTGTTTATATTCATGAAATTAAGACAAAATATTTATTTTTTTAATAATAGTAAATAAAATTTGAATTGGAAATCTTGATACATTTCTTCTGTCATATTGCCCAGCCCTACAGCTAACAGCAACTATAAATTATGTTCCCAATGTCTATAATTACAATTTTATATGGAATACATTTAAGTATTCTATAGTACAATTTTGCACGTGTCAATCTAAGATCTTAATACATCTGTAGGACAAACCAAATTCCTTCATGCTTTCTGGGTCCGTTTCATCCAAAAAGAAGTAGCCTTGTTTGACCGCACGATGCACCTCAAAACACAGGCCCAAACAGGCATCATCCACCAGCTCAGAGTAGATGTCATGCACCAAAGCCTATAAAGAAAACATGAGCATGTTAATCGCTATCGCAACAGTCCTGATTTTTCATCTTTCTGAAACCCATGGGTTGTTGTTCTATCATTCACCTCCAGCCTGGTGTTGTCTGGGCCTGACAGGGGCATATCCTCCATTTTCATTTGAAAATCTGGATGGGAAGTTTTGATTGCAGTATAATGAGTAGTTGCTCTGTGAAATTAAAAAAGAAAATGGTTAATTATTAGAGTGGTAGAGGTAGCAAAATAGATGAGAAAGAGCATTTGACTTACTTTATATGAAGTTATTATCTGTTGTACAACTTTCTTCATTCTGTTGCAAGAAAAGAAAGATGCGTTTGCAAATAAGACTTCAATGAAAATGATCAAAACTGTGAAGAAGCATAATTGTCAATTCTAAACATTACCACATTAAATATTATATTGTTTTGACATTTTTCCTTACTCATTAGCGTTGAATATAATGGTTTAAGCAAATGTATGATCATGCAAAGCAATGATAATGATACTAGAATTCACCTGTAGCCTTTGCACTTGTGTTGACCAGATTCTTATATCATGTACCAAGTAACCATATGATTAACTAAACGCCAGCATGTATTTAACAGTGACAATGGTTTTGAAGGAATTCTCTATCAATATTATGGTCACATGCAAGCAATACAGTATTCCTTTGACAGGTGATGCATAAGACAGATGTTTCTGGTGGTTATCGATACATGAACCAATGACAAAAACTAGCAAAAAACGAACAAAGTTGGAATAATCAGAAAAAAAAATACAAACCAAATATCAATTCTGCAGGTTAGCGGTTTGTGATGCTAGCATGCTAACCAAAGCACCACAGCATGGCATTTAGACATGTTTCTAGCATCTCAGCATAACTCTAACGATGCTAATGTAATGTTATATCTTGATTATGTGCAGTTAGTTCCTCTTACCCTGTCAAACCCATAGGTCACAGCGCAAACTCAGCCTGGACAAGCTGCAGCAGTGGCACCATCACCTTCACGGCGTACTAAAAAAATCTCAAGAAATGATTACGCCTCTCTTCCGTTAAATCCATTTTGTCATAATTTAGACACAGTGTTTGATGTTTAGTGTCCCTATTCTGTTAAACTAATGCAAAAGCGTAATTATAAACGAGAAGGCCCAGACACTGAAGAACCAATCACAGAAATGAAAACATCCTGTTCCCAGTTTTAATTCTACAAAATAAAAGCTCACGTTTCCGTCTACAGTTTTATTATTCCTCTCTCATCAATTACGAGGTTGTATTTGTATGTAAGCATGTTATTACTCGATAGAATATGTATATAAATCCCCCCCCAAAAAAGAACTACCGAGATTTATTTGATTAGGGGCAGGTGTGAGGAAGACGTGCTTTTATTTTGAAGTTCCAATTAGTTGACGCATTTCAAACTATAAAAATATATTGGATTTCAAGACCAGACCTCGAACATACTGTACACGCTTTTGAGCATATTTCAAATAATTTGGAAGACCAACATTCAAATCCATATTTTATCTCCCAGTTTCTATTTCATTGATCACTTAGACTAGACAATCTAACCACAATAACAGGCCTATTTGAAAACTGGTCTGCCCAACAATAAATGCCTACAGCTCAAAGCATGGTTCCAGGTTATTGTGAACAAATGAATCAATGTTATTATTACACTATTAAACATGCTCAGTACCTAAAAAGGTTCATAAAAGTCTTGACAGGATTGTAGGTGCTTGCAAATGCTCATATAAAGTTTAAAATTTAATAATTACTGTTCTATTATCTTTTTTAAACACATTTTTTCGTTATAAAACAGTAGGGAGGGGTTTTGAGCGTATCCACTGGTAAAATAGATATTGGAAACCATTGTAGTAAATGAGAAAGAAACAGATTGCAAATGTGGCTCTTCCAAGATTTTTATTTGCCCAAATACTTCAACTACAAGGACATAAGAACTTCCCTCAGCTATAGAAAACATCAATTTTTTGTCAAATTTTCTGCAGTACAAACTTGTAAAGCTTTGCTCTGAGATATTTCTATAAACTGACAAAAGAAACGAAACAACAAAAACAGGCAAATTAACTGTAAGCCAAAATTAAACACTTAACAAAACAATGAGCACTCAATACAAAAACATTATTTACAGTAATTACATCTGGTAATTCGGTTCCCTCTGTTCCTGATATAATAGTATAAACTACAGCCAGTTCCTCCCCCATTGAAATGTTTACAAGTCTACGCTGGTTTTGTTTCGGTCAAATTATAAAGAAAACATTTTAACATTGATGAATAACAGTTACCATGTTTGTGTAATGGAAATTGTATGTAACTTGAGTATTTAGACAGCAATGAGCAACAAAAAGGCCCTTTGCCCCTTTGGGGCAAAAAGGAAAAAAAAAATACATTCAATTCCTGGTGTTGGGAGGATGCCCCATAGAATTACATACATGCATGCTGTGATCACAACAGCAAAAGACACACACACACATCCCCTCAAATATGTACAGTTCTGTGCTAGCATGCACAATTCACACAATTTACAATAAGTGCACGCCTTTTGGATTAAAAAAACAAAACAAACAAAAGACATTTGGATTACAGTCGCTTCCATTAAAAGCTCAAAACAAACCCAATGAGTGATTCAATTTAGCATCCGCAAATTATTTCAGACCAAAACACAAAGCAAAACTCGTCAAAAACTGCGAGAGAAGCGTAAAATGACAATATACAAGCCAACAAATGTACAGTAAAAATACAGAATAAAACAATGTATCTGTAGATGCCATACACTGAACAGTTTTAGGCCCAAGAATAAATTTGACGAGTGAAATCTAAATGTCATGTGCAATGGACTGAACAGTGTCTATATGAAGTGTTCTGTCAACTCTTGTTTTCTTTACAAGCCCAAAAATATTTTCAAGGTTTATGTTAGAATTACAAAAGGACCACATTTTCATTGAAAGGCACATTTTAACATTTTAAGTAGGTTAAAATAATAGCACTCTAAATTTGAATAGCTTTTTGTCAAGCTGAACTGTTTTATATCACAATAAAAGTTTGGGGAAAGTTTGCAATGATGCAAAACAACAAGACATGAGCCTGAGTGATGTGAATACTTTATACAGACACTGTAACTGAAATACGTGAACATGAGAAAACACATTTTGAATATTTCCAGCAACAGAAAAACATTCATAATGGCTTGATTTTTTCCTGAAAAATACCACCGTTCTATAAACCAAGATAAAATCTACATAATAAAATTAAAAGTATAACGGTAAAGATTTTGGAAAAAATAAAGGAAACATTCTGAAGAGTGCAATTGTTCAGTTCCCCACACGCCTGCCCTCCTAAAGTGATCTTTGGCTTCATAAAGCCTGTTCACAACTCGTGTCTAACTCTTTATCAGAATAAGAAAATAAAACAACAGGGCAACAATTTACCCCAAACATTAAAACTCTCTATTTTTTTTTTTTTTTTTTTTTTAAACAATGAACCATTAAGTTGAGGTCGAAACGTGAACGTTTGAGGATCACCAAACCAGTGGGATGCCTCTTCAACTGGAGTCAGTGGCCCGTGCTGCGGAGGTGAGGAAACTGGACCGAGCAGTCTCCTGGGACGAAAACCACAGCCATGATGAGTGAATGAGTATGAGACACAGGTGTGCCCTCTGGTGGCAGGAGGAGTGCAGGGTTGGCACAGTGGCGGAACTCCCTGGACTCTTGGCTCAGCTCAGCGCTGCTCAGTTCATGTGGGACTCTTTAGGTCCGGTTCAGTCTGAGTCTGAGTCTGAGGAACCTGAGCCGGACTCACTGCTGCTGTCCTCTGACTTGTTCTCTTTGTCCTCCGCCTCATCGTCATCATCTTCATCGCTGTCGTCATCCTCATCGTCATCATCACCATCATCCCTCTGTATAATAACAATCACATTTAATTAGCAGTGGCAGCTCACAATATTGCTGTCAACTTTTCATGCCTCTAAAATACACTGTACTGTTGTGTTAGCACTGAACAGCAGAAGCAACATAGACCATGACCCTTTGGTAATAAGACAGTGCTTGCAATAAACTAAATCAGTGTTTCCTAACTGTGGTTTATGTACTACTGATATCTGCTGGCAGTTGGTCTTCTGGTGTTACTCAGGATCCTCTGCTAGTTTAGACTTGTTTAATTTTGATTAGCTACATTTCATGGAAGTTTTAAGCATTCAATATCAATATTTTGCAGCTTAGATCTTGTTTAGACACGATTTTTTTATGGTCTATTTTAGCCCTGCTTGAGACCAGTTTAAACGTTGAACTTGGAAAGCCACAAATCTAACTTGGTGTTACTGGTGTGAAATACTTTAAAGCCGCTGCTATAGACTAAGTAGGTGTTCAACAAACCGAGACGGTATTTGATGTTATGATTTTGTGTCATGAGATTCAAATATTATGGCATACATAACTACTCAAACTATAATCCATAAAGCCCTCCTTCACTTACATCATCGTCGTCATCATCATCTTCTTCGTCGCTGGAGGAGTCTGCGTCAGAGGAGCCCTTCTGATCATCATCATCATCATCGTCATCGTCGTCCTCTTCATCTTCAGACTCCTAAAATAAAAGCCGGTTAAATTAAACTACAGAAACGTAAACACACTACGGTAATTTACAAATGTCATGGTACTCACAGATTTCTTTGATTTGGCTTTGGGTCCTCCAGGTTTCGCTGAAGTTTTGCGTTTCTATAATTCAGAAATCCAGACATTCATTTAAAAGATGTTTCATAACGAATAAATGTTCTTCAAACCTAATTTGTAAGGAAGTACATGTAAATACCTGTGAGTTGTATTCTTTATATGTATTTCTTTCCTGTGATGACAAGCTCTGTGGGGGAAAAAACAACAACACAAAATTAAGTAAACTGCAGTCATTACACACCACTGGAGTAACAGAAGTATGTAGATGTATTTCAATCAATCAATCTTTATTTCAGACTCCAGAGGGTCCATATATAGAACAATATTTCATAGTTGTAAGTCCAATGATGAATGATTTAAAGTAGTCTTACCGCTAGCCACTGTTCAAGCAGGACCTTGTATTGTTTCTGCTTCTCCTCTGCGATCTTTTTGTAGCGATCTTTGTCTTTCTGAGGTAACCTTTGCCAGCGGCTGCCAATCTCAGTCATCCGCTCCTTCATTGGGAGATGATTCAACTCGCCATTGGAAAGCATTTCCTGAGAAAACTTTTGATATCCGTTTCTAAAGAAAAAAAACACATTTCAAAGCTGAGCATTTTCATTTTCAATTGCTTTAACAGAAACTACGTGACCACAGAGCAAAAGGACTTACGATGGGGGCTTCTTGGGTTCACCCTCAAACTTCATTTTCTTTCCTGAGGCGATGGCAGCTGCAGTCGGAGAGCGCATTTCACACAGGTCTCTCTATGGAGGACAGAGCAATTAAATTACCATCTACTTAACATTACATATTGTACTGAACTGTTCTTTAATGTGGTCTAACCTCATATCTTTTCTGGTCCTCTGCTGCCTTTTTGATCCACATTATTTTCTCCTTTTTCTCCATCGTGCTCCAAGTTGCTTCCATGGCTTTTTGTGCTTTTGGCCGGTCATTCTGTTGGCAAAAATACAAATGAAAAGCTTTACCGGAAATAATCACTAATAATAATAATAATAACCATAATCACATAATAATCATTACTGGAAATATTGCGGGGACAAACTAAAATGAAAGCAGGATGTATATACCTTGAACCTGGCGAGATAGTCTCCAATGACGCTCTGCTGCCAGATGTCCTGTGCAGTTTTGGGTGGATCCGGGAGACGGCTGCGATCCACGTTCTTCTCTTTTTCAGACTCTGCTTTCAGAACAGCTTCTAAGCGTTTATATTTCTCCTGAAACAAAGACACGGTTGAATTTGACAGAAGTACCAGACCTAATGGATCGTTTTCACATCTCAATTTTGCACTTAATTACCTTCTTCTTATCAGGTAGCTCATTCCACATTCGTGCTAAGAGCCTTGTGAGTTCACTGTCTGAGAGATCTGATCTTTCCTGCTGTAATTTTTGACGTTTCTCTTCAGAAAATATAAACATGGCTGAAATAGGCCTTTTGGGTTTCTCAGCATTAACCTGTGTTACAAAACATGAGTGATTTAGTCAAACTTTACAGCATTATATAAAATATATTTTGTTTTAAAAGTACCTTTGCCTTGCTCTTCTTTTTAGAAGCTGGGCTGCTGGCTCCAGTGCCTCTTCTTACTCCGATTTTCTCTTCACCTAAGACCCTCTGCTGTTCCTCCTCTGGCAATGTCTATAGAAAGATGAGTTAATTATGAGTAGAAATAAATAAAATAAGATATTATCACCTATGGTCATGAGCTCTGGGTAGTGACCGAAAGGACGAGATCGCGGATACAAGCGCTCGAAATGAGTTTCCTCCGCAGGGTGGCTGGGCGCTCCCTTAGAGATAGGGTGAGGAGCTCAGTCACACGGGAGGAGCTCGGAGTAGAGCTGCTGCTCCTCCACGTCGAGAGGAGCCAGTTGAGGTGGCTCGGGCATCTGTTCCGGATGCCTCCTGGGCGCCTCCCTCGGGAGGTGTTCCGGGCATGTCCCACCGGGAGGAGGCCACGGGGAAGACCCAGGACACGCTGGAGGGACTATGTCTCTCGGCTGGCCTGGGAACGCCTCGGGGTCCCCCCGGAGGAGCTGGAGGACGTGTCTGGGGTGAAGGAAGTCTGGGAGTCCCTGCTTAGGCTGCTGCCCCCGCGACCCGGCCCCGGATAAGCGGAAGAAAATGGATGGATGGATGGATATTATCATACCCAATAAACTTACACTTAAAAACCGGTGCATCTCAATTTCATATTCTTTCTTCCTCTGTTCACACCTCCTCTGGTAGGCATCTTTCTCTGCCTGTTTCAGCATTTTCCACCTTTGACTGCACATCACCATGCGCTCTGTGCTGGGGACATCCTTCATACTGGACATAAGCTCTGCACAAAACATCGAGTACCCATTTCTGAAAGCACAAATACACAAGTTATTGAAATATACAGTAAAACAAATATATCAGCTTGTCACACTTGTATTTTGAATGTAACTTACGGTGGTGGTTTGTCAGGCCGGCCGTCTGATTTGTCTTTCAAATGCCGTTCAGCTTTCGTCAGAGTCGACTTCACAATATCTCCTTGGGTCATATTTAACTCAGGGTGCTGCTGAATGTACTCACGCATTATCTCCTACAAACAATTATTAAATCAAATATTACTTTACAGTGCTAATTTATTTGAAATATTTTATGACCTGAAATCATTGCCCCCACCTCGTATAGTTTATATTGTTCCAGTGACTTTGCGATCCATTTTAGCCTCTTTTTGTCCGACAACTGTGTCCACTGTTTGCCGAGGCTGTCTTTAATGTCTTTGGTGGTTGCCTGAAAGAAATATTTACCATTTTAGTCACTGCAGACTTATAGTGGCATAGTATGTATAGTTTTGTAGTGACTCTCTGAAAATTCTTACATCTGGGTGTGTCTTGAGAAAGGCCTTTTTCTCATGGTTGTACCACAGTTGTTGCGGCGTCTTGGGCTTTTCTGGGACATTTGAAGCCTTCTTTGTCATGTTTTCCATCAGATCTGGGTGTTCTTCCCTGAATCATAAAATAATTAAATGTTTACAGCTTTGTAAACACAGATTATAGATTTGTATTCCACAAATAACATACCTGAATCTCATCATGCTCTGTACAAACGTTTCTTTGTCCTTCACAAAGTCATCAACATATTTTTTCTGTAGAAAGCAAAAACATAAAATCAATCTAGCATCACTGTAACTAGACTGATAAAAATCAAATCTATTTCATACCTTCTTTTTGTCTGGAAGTTCCCTGTATTTCTTTGAGAGAATCTTTGTCAAATCAAGGTTACTCATTTCAGGATGCAACTTTGCATACTTTGCCCTCTTCTCCATAAAGAAGCGGAAGTATGGTGTTAAAGGCTTTTTAGGGAAATCTGGATGTTTCTGTTGGTAAAAAAGGCACATTACTTTAACTTTCTTAGTAAAGAAACCTCTTGGACAAAAACTTATAATATTTAGTTATAATTTACCTTTAATTTCTTGCCCTTATAGGGATTCTTTATGTAATCTTGAGCATCGACAATGAGCTCTGTTAGGGTCCTGAATTTACGTATCTAAAATAAGAGAGGGAAAAATGTTACGAATAATGGAAATACAGTAATACAATTTGACTGAAATTAAATGTGACTGACCTCTTTAGAAACTTCTAGCCACTTCTGTTTACACATCTCTGCAGTGTAGGAGTTGAAAGCGACCTTCTGCCAGTCAAGATGGGACTCAGATGTTTTGTACTTGGTCACGTCTTTCTGGGGAAGAGCCACTTTCATCCCTTCAAGAAGTTTAAGAAGGTCATCCTGTCCCCACACTGCCACACGGAGATCACAGAGAAGTCACACAAATTGTTCACAATTGCTCAAAAATACCTTTTCAACATTTAAATATGTAATTCTTACTAATTAATTGTCTTATAGTATGTTTACTTCATGTTTTTACTATCTTTTTCTTTTATGACTATGTGATCACAAAGTCTAACCTTGGTCCTGGGTAGTGGCCTCCATTTCTCCATTCATTTGTTGATGTACAGCGTAACTACAAAAAAAGAGAAAAGTATTACATTAAATAAGCAAAAAGAAAAGAAAAAAGAAAAGAAGAAGAAATTGAATTAGCCATAACTCAACTGTGTTTCAAGTAACCTAAAGTTATGTTAAAGACAATGTTTGTTGTTCAAGTATGATTAAAAATTAGGACCATTCTCATAGTGATTAACAATTTAAATCGAATTATAATATGTTTTGAAAAGGAAAAAGTCCTCAAAATCTTACATATAAAAAGGACACTGGAACCCATAAATATTTTTTTGTGTAAATTAATTATTTTTGTTAAACTTGTGTATGGAGTCGTTTTATTAAAAGTGTGGTTTCTTTGATGAAAAGTGTGTGTGGCCGTGTGCACTGGCCCTAGATTGCGAATGCGCTTCGACATAATGGTTTATGTTCATTACACCGCCCCTTAAACGTTTACGCTACATGGTGAGACATAGGCTATTGCTTGTGACGGCTTCAAATCTCAAATAACACTGCAGAGGGCTTCAACTAGCTCGACTAGCTACGACTACGAAGAGTGCGCGTCGAGCAAAAAGTGCCATCAGGAATTTTGCGCATTAGTACTATTCTTATTGCACAATATAAGTATCGCGGACAGACGGGAGCGACCATTTTCTCGCTCGGTCTATGCGGTAATGGAGGATTTCGAGCCGGAGCGGAGGTGGGGAGGATCCACGGAAGGAGGAAGCGAATGGACGTGGACGGACAGGCAGCTGTAGGCGACCAGCTGACCAAGGACGGGGGATCTGCTTAGCTCTCCGACGGCAATGAGATGGAGGATGGGAGCACTGCGGCCAAATGCGCCACTCACTGCTCGGCATA